TGATGTTCAGGTGTATATCAGTATGTAGTGTCTCTACTTTAAAAGAGTCCTCTCCTGCTGATGTTCAGGTGTATATCAGTATGTAGTGTCCTCTACTTTAAAGAGTCCTCTCCTGCTGATGTTCAGGTGTATATCAGTATGTAGTGTCTCTACTTTAAAGAGTCCTCTCCTGCTGATGTTCAGGTGTATATCAGTGTGGTAGTGTCTCTACTTTAAAGAGTCCTCTCCTGCTGATGTTCAGGTGTATATCAGTATGTAGTGTCTCTACTTTAAAGAGTCCTCTCCTGCTGATGTTCAGGTGTATATCAGCATGTAGTGTCTCTACTTTAAAGAGTCCTCTCCTGCTGATGTTCAGGTTGTATATCAGTATGTAGTGTCCTCTACTTTAAAGAGTCCTCTCCTGCTGATGTTCAGGTGGTATATCAGTATGTAGTGTCTCTACTTTAAAGAGTCCTCTCCTGCTGATGTTCAGGTGTATATCAGTATGTAGTGTCTCTACTTAAAGAGTCCTCTCCTGCTGATGTTCAGGTGTATATCAGCATGTAGTGTCTCTACTTTAAAGAGTCCTCTCCCTGCTGATGTTCAGGTGTATATCAGTATGTAGTGTCTCTACTTTAAAGAGTCCTCTCCTGCTGATGTTCAGGTGTATATCAGTATGTAGTGTCCTCTACTTTAAAGAGTCCTCTCCTGCTGATGTTCAGGTGTATATCAGTATGTAGTGTCTCTACGTTAAAAGAGTCCTCTCCTGCTGATGTTCAGGTGTATATCAGCATGTAGTGTCTCTACTTTAAAGAGTCCTCTCCTGCTGATGTTCAGGTGTATATCAGTACGTAGTGTCTCTACTTTAAAGAGTCCTCTCCTGCTGATGTTCAGGTGTATATCAGTATGTAGTGTCTCTACTTTAAAGAGTCCTCTCCTGCTGATGTTCAGGTGTATATCAGTATGTAGTGTCTCTACTTTAAAGAGTCCTCTCCTGCTGATGTTCAGGTGTATATCAGTATGTAGTGTCTCTACTTTAAAGAGTCCTCTCCTGCTGATGTTCAGGTGTATATCAGCATGTAGTGTCTCTACTTTAAAGAGTCCTCTCCTGCTGATGTTCAGGTGTATATCAGTATGTAGTGTCTCTACTTTAAAGAGTCCTCTCCTGCTGATGTTCAGGTGTATATCTATGTAGTGTCTCTACTTTAAAGAGTCCTCTCCTGCTGATGTTCAGGTGTATATCAGTATGTAGTGTCTCTACTTAAAGAGTCCTCTCCTGCTGATGTTCAGGTGTATATCAGCATGTAGTGTCTCTACTTTAAAGAGTCCTCTCCTGCTGATGTTCAGGTGTATATCAGTATGTAGTGTCTCTACTTTAAAGAGTCCTCTCCTGCTGATGTTCAGGTGTATATCAGTATGTAGTGTCTCTACTTTAAAGAGTCCTCTCTCCTGCTGATGTTCAGGTGTATATCAGTATGTAGTGTCTCTACTTTAAAGAGTCCTCTCCTGCTGATGTTCAGGTGTATATCAGTATGTAGTGTCTCTACTTTAAAGAGTCCTCTCCTGCTGATGTTCAGGTGTATATCAGCATGTAGTGTCTCTACTTTAAAGAGTCCTCTCCTGCTGATGTTCAGGTGTATATCAGTATGTAGTGTCTCTACTTTAAAGAGTCCTCTCCTGCTGATGTTCAGGTGTATATCAGTATGTAGTGTCTCTACTTTAAAGAGTCCTCTCCTGCTGATGTTCAGGTGTATATCAGTATGTAGTGTCTCTACGTTTAAAGAGTCCTCTCCTGCTGATGTTCAGGTGTATATCAGCATGTAGTGTCTCTACTTTAAAGAGTCCTCTCCTGCTGATGTTCAGGTGTATATCAGTATGTAGTGTCTCTACTTTAAAGAGTCCTCTCCTGCTGATGTTCAGGTGTATATCAGTATGTAGTGTCTCTACTTTAAAGAGTCCTCTCCTGCTGATGTTCAGGTGTATATCAGTATGTAGTGTCTCTACTTTAAAGAGTCCTCTCCTGCTGATGTTCAGGTGTATATCAGTATGTAGTGTCTCTACTTTAAAGAGTCCTCTCCTGCTGATGTTCAGGTGTATATCAGTATGTAGTGTCTCTACTTTAAAGAGTCCTACCATGCTGATGTTCAGGTGTATATCAGTATGTAGTGTCTCTACTTTAAAGAGTCCTCTCCTGCTGATGTTCAGGTGTATATCAGTATGTAGTGTCTCTACTTTAAAGAGTCCTCTCCTGCTGATGTTCAGGTGTATATCAGTGTGTAGTGTTTCTACTTTAAAGAGTCCTCCCCTGCTGATGTTCAGGTGTATATCAGTGTGTAGTGTCTCTACTTTAAAGAGTCCTCTCCAGCTGATGTTCAGGTGTATATCAGTATGTATGTCTCTACTTTAAAGAGTCCTCTCCTGCTGATGTTCAGGTGTATATCAGTATGTAGTGTCTCTACTTTAAAGAGTCCTCTCCTGCTGATGTTCAGGTGTATATCAGTATGTAGTGTCTCTACTTTAAAGAGTTCTCTCCTGCTGATATTCAGGTGTATAGTATGTAGTGTCTCTACTTTAAAGAGTCCTCTCCTGTTGATGTTCAGGTGTATATCAGTATGTAGTGTCTCTACTTTAAACAGTCCTCTCCTGCTGATGTTCAGGTGTATATCAGCATGTAGTGTCTCTACTTTAAAGAGTCCTCTCCTGCTGATGTTCAGGTGTATATCAGTATGTAGTGTCTACTTTAAAGAGTCCTCTCCTGCTGATGTTCAGGTGTATATCAGTATGTAGTGTCTCTACTTTAAAGAGTCCTCTCCTGCTGATGTTCAGGTGTATATCAGTATGTAGTGTCTCTACTTTAAAGAGTCCTCTCCTGCTGATGTTCAGGTGTATATCAGTATGTAGTGTCTCTACTTTAAGAGTTCTCTCCTGCTGATATTCAGGTGTATATCAGTATGTAGTGTCTCTACTTTAAAGAGTCCTCTCCTGTTGATGTTCAGGTGTATATCAGTATGTAGTGTCTCTACTTTAAAGAGTTCTCTCCTGCTGATGTTCAGGTGTATATCAGCATGTAGTGTCTCTACTTTAAAAGTCCTCTCCTGCTGATGTTCAGGTGTATATCAGTATGTAGTGTCTATACTTTAAAGAGTCCTCTCCTGCTGATGTTCAGGTGTATATCAGTATGTAGTGTCTCCATGCTTTAATGTTCAGAAAGCTCTTTATTTTGCTCATACTGCCTGTGCTGCAGCACCTCTTTTCACCCTCTGTCTGAAACCAGAGCCCAGTCTGCTCTTATTGGTTAGCTGGCTGACTCTGTTGTAATTGGTCAACCGCTTAGAGATGTCCCGCCCCTTAGTGTTCAATGTGTCAAGAGCTCTACTAGCCAATAGAAACTGAGTGTTACATAGTGGATGTCATTATTTATGGAAGTAAACAAAGGAGCCCAATGGAGTCTCAGTCAGTGGGGGGAACACAGGAAGTGTAGCCTCTGCAGACCATTGAAATGCACAAAAACCTGTATGACACACTGCAGGAGAGGGAACACCCCTCAAAGCAGAATAGGGCCTCTTTAAATCATCTCTGAATGCTTATGGTATAAAGCTAGCAGGCTTGTCCCTCTCTTAATACTTTCTCATATCCTGTTTCATCTCTTTGCTCAAGATCATTGGTCCTACTTGAGATGTAACTGTTAAAAAACCTCTCACAGATATAAATGATTAAAAGTTCATAGTCAATTTTCTGAAACAGTTGGTCACTAGTATCTGTGGCAGTAGGAAGGTGTGTGTGTGTGTGGTGTGGTGTGTGTGTGTGTGTGTGGTGTGTGTATGTGTGTGTGTGTGTGTGGTGTGTGTGTGTGTGTGTGTGTGTGTGTGTGTGTGTGTGTGTGTGTGTGTGGTGTGTGTGTGTGTGTGTGTCTGTGTGGGGATTGCATGACAAATAACCTGCAGTGTGGTGTGTACACACCCTGCTTATATCCAGGCTCAGCAGGCTGTCATGGTTTGGATTGCTCCACACTCTGAAAGAGGAGGTTTTGGAGAGTTGTTTTCAAAACAAATGAGAAGAGTAGAGAACAACTTCAACATGTTGTAGTCTTCGTTAAGGTTCGGAAATATTGTTAGCATGCCCAGTAAGAAAGCTTAAAGTGGACCTATCATGCTATATTTGAAACATATATTGTAGGGCCATACCTATATAAAACATGTCTGTGAAGTTTCTTTTTCAAAATACCAAACAGATCATGCATTTTAGCCATGCCTCATTTCGCTCTATTTGCTCTATTCCAGCCCTGTTTTTGTAAGGGCTGATTCTGTGGCAAATGAGCTGCAGCTGACCACGCCCCCCAGCAAAGGAGGGGGGCGAGGCACGAGCGTCATGTGACCATGCTGTACCATGCTGTTACCATGCCACGCAACCTCTCATTCCCCTGATAGGTGGAGAGTTGGCCATATAGGCGGAGCACCTTGTTTCTGACGTCAGAGATATTTCAAATCTGGATCAGTCTGTATCAGATCCGTTGCACAGCCCCGTTTTTAGAGATTTGGGTATCAAGGAAAGAGAGAGGGTTGTGTTTCTGACACTTGGTGAGTTCCCTGACACACCGGGGACACATATTCATGTTGAAAAGACGTACAAAAGTGCATTTTGCATGATAGGTCCCCTTTAATTAAAAAACTTGAATGAGAGTAGAGCGGACATTCTCAAATCAACATAACAGGAGGGTCAGAGTGGCGGCCATTTTACGTCTGTTGTTACCACTACAACAGACTTACTACTTGTGGTGTGGCAGTAGAGTAGTGGACAAAGCAAAGAGAAGTAAACGTGTACACTTAGTCAATGTAACAAATGAACACACAATGCTTTCTATTTCTTAAAAGACAGAATGTTAACATAATTTTCAACCAACATATTAAGTAAAATCTAAATTTGTTTATGTTTTGTGCAAATTATCGACAAAATAATCCTGAACATTGAGTTAAAAAATGTTTTATGTATAAACAGCAGCTTTATGTGTTTGTTTCCCTCAGCTGGAGAAGAAAGAGGATTGACGCAGCCCTTCAAACCTCAAATCACCTGACGACTACGGCCTCGAGAAACTTTGACACGCAGTTTACTAATGAACCAGTGCAGCTAACACCAAGACGATGAGTAAGTACCGCCTGTTGCAGAAGTTTTAATTAAGTCAAACCGCTGAAGCCCTGTGAGAATATCCCAAATCGGGGTTTTTGTTTTTGTAATAAAACGCTGCTCTTGGAATGAAGATCTTCTTTGCAGGGACTTGAAATGTGCCTGAGGTCGAGTCTGTCATCATGTCAGTCGTTTCCTTGTTATGTGACTTTTCAAGTCACTACATGATGATATGTTTGACAGCTAGAAAGGGATTACCTACACTGAACACAAATATAAATGCAACACTTTTGGTTTTTGCTCCCATTTTCATGAGATGAACTCAAAGATCTAAAACATTTTCTATATACACAAAATAACCATTTTCTCTCAAATATTGTTCTCAAATCTGAAAGAATCTGTGATAGTGAGCACTTCTCCTTTGACGAGATAATCCATCCCACCCTCACAGGTGTGGCATATCAAGATGCTGATTAGACAGCATGATTATTGCACAGGTGTGCCTTAGGCTGGCCACAATAAAAAGCCACTCTAAAATGTTCAGTTTTATCACACAGCACAATGCCAAAGATGTCGCAAGTTTTGAGGAGCGTGCAATTGGCATGCTGACAGCAGGAATGTCCACCAGAGCTGTTGCCCGTGAATTGAATGTTCATTTCTCTACCATAAGCCCGTCTCCAAAGGCGTTTCAGAGAATTTGGCAGTACATCCAACCGGCCTCACAACCGCAGACCACGTGTATACCACACCAGCCCAGGAAGGACCTCCACATCCAGCATGTTCACCTCCCAAGATCGTCTGAGACCAGCCACTCGGACAGCTGCTGCAACAATCGCTTTGCATAACCAAAGAATTTCTGCACAAACATGTCAGAACCGTCTCAGGGAAGCTCATCTGCATGCTCGTCGTCCTCATCGGGGTCTCGACCTGACTCCGGTTCGTCGTCGTACCGACTTGAGTGGGCAAATGCTCACATCGATGGCGGCTCTCTGGCACGTTTGCGAGAGGTGTTCTCTTCACGGATGAATCCCGGTTTTCACTGTTCCAGGGCAGATGGCAGACAGCGTGTGTGGACGTCGTGTGGGTGAGCGGTTTCTGATGTCAATGTTGTGAATCGAGTGGCCCATGGTGGGGTGGGGTTATGGTAGGGGCAGGCGTATGTTATGGACGAACGAACACAGGTGCATTTTATTGATGCATTGTGAATGCACAGAGATACCGTGACGAGATCCTGAGGCCCATTGTTGTGCCATTCATCCACGACCATCACCTCATGTTTGCAGCATGATAATGCACGGCCCCAGGTAGCAAGGATCTGTACACAATTCCTGGAGGCTGAAAACATCCCAGTTCTTGCATGGCCAGCATACTCCCTGGACATGTCACCCCTTGAGCATGTTTGGGATGCTCTGGATCGGGGTTATACGAACGCGTGTTTCCAGTTCCTGCCAATATCCACAACTTGGCACAGCCATGTGAAGATGGAGGGGACCAACATTCCACAGGCACAATCAACACTGCTGATCAACTCTATGCGAAGGAGATTGTGTTGCAACGCGTGAGGCAAATGGTGGTCACATCCAGATACTGACTGGTTTTCGGACCCCCCCCAGACCCCCCCAATAAAAGCAAAAACTGAACGTTTTCAGAGTGGCCTTTTATTGTGGCCAGCCTAAGGCACACCTGTGGGCATATCATGCTGTCTAATCAGCATCTTGATTATGCCACAACCTGTGAGGTGGGATGGATTATCTCGGCAAAGGAGAAGTGCTCACTATCACAGATTTTTCAGATTTGTGAACAATATTTGAGAGAAATGGTTAGTTTGTGTATATAGAAAAATGATTTTAGATCTTGAGTTCATCTCATGAAAAATGGGAGCAAAAACAAAAGTGTTGCGTTTATATTTTTGTTCATTGTAAGTCGAGCAGGTTTTAGGTTTTGTATCAGTTAGTCATCGGACCTTTTACATATTTCTCATATTATAATCAGTTTTTCTTGAAACCATGTCTAAGTTGCGAGCTATTAAATGTTTCCCATGACATAATTTGAGTGTCGATTGAAAACAGGCGTTACTTGGTGACACACATTTCTATGGGGGGACTGGTTAATGTCAGAGGACCATCACGCTGTCAAGTTTGTATTCCACTCAGAAAGTTGTTGTTTGCCTAGCCGGTGTTCCATTCATGTTATTACAACCGTGCTGAGTCAGCAGCAGCTCCGGTGCTCAGGGGACACTTCACACAGAATGGAACGGGCCGCTCCTAACACAATGAATGAACATCACATGCAACCGTCCCAAGGCCCCATTCACAAACTATATTCTGCCATGATATGAAAACAAAACACGGCCATCAAGTTGTGCAGGCTAATTTGACCTATTCTTGCATCAGATGGGTAAAGTATGGATGGGCTTGAGGATAATGCTTCCTTTATCTGTATTATTCAGTATGACCACACTGTATACTATACATATGACAGATATATATATATCAGCATTGACCTTTGTGAATCCCACGTGTCAGTTTCATAGATAATATGTGCCGATAGCAGAGAAACACAGGCACAATATTTGCTTGGCGGTGCATTTTATCCTTTGTCTTTACTAAGAGAATTCCATGTTTTTTTTGTCCTACTCACACATGTTTATCCCTTCATACCTTTACTGAATTCACCCCCAGGTGCTGCGTTCTCTCCTGGGTATAGAAAGGAAGGAGGCTAGTGATTGCCGTCTCTCTGTTATGGGTCTAGAGGAGGTGATGGACACACATAGCTCACAGGGGGGGATTCTTATAACATCAACCCGTTATCCCGTGGTTTGAATAACAGTTATGTAGAAACGTGCTGAGTGCTGAGGTCACACATGGGGGGAAACTATTGGCAGTGACGACGGCCCCCAGCGAAGTAAAAACAGTGCTGTAGGTAAAAGTTCCTGAGGGGACAAGCATGATGTAGTGCCCCCCCACACAGACTATATTATTTATATCTGAAAAGGAGCTACCACTGAAGAACATCATAAGAAGAAAATATTGTCTGTTAGTTAAATGCTTTTTAATTTCTGTTTGACTTTTACTGTTTATATCTTTGCTTCCTCTCTTCAATACTGTCCTCCATATTTATTTTTACATTTCTTTATATCTTGCTAAATAATTCAAACTTTATTTATATAGCACAACAAAGGTAACATAAAGTGCTTCACAAACCAAAAATAGAAATGAAACAAACCCACCAATGTCCAGGTAATAAACAGAGTAACACATAGCTTCGTGATTGATGAGAATCAGAATCAGAATCCCTTTCTGCGTCCCAGAGAGGGGAAATGTAAGATAGCCGCTTTCACACCAAGTACTGCCGTACTTAGTGCCCAGCACTTAGTGCCTCCATGGAACTAAGTACAGATCGCGTTCACACCGGAATAAGTTCCCTGAGGGAAGATTACGCAAATGAAGCCGCTGACGTCACTTCGTCTTCTTCTGCTTTGGGTTTACTGGCAGGCCGCAAACCACTTCACGGCGTATACTGCCACCCGAAGTCCCCGGCCGGAAGTTCCCGGAGTTAGGGACTGGCTTCAGTAGAAGCTGCTGGGAGTCCCAGCAGCTTCTACTGAAGCCTTCAGAGTAAATCGCCAGAACGCCGACATCTCCTCATCTCCACCGCTCCCATGTTTTCTTTTGTGTTGCCATAAGTTATTCTCTCTCTGCGTTGGTGCGCGGGGCTAATGCTAATAATGCTAATGCCAGCAAATACAATGGCGACTTCACAAAACCTTTCAGAGTTTTGCAATTCGCCCAGCCAATCGAAATTGGTACTTTTTTCTCCCCAGGATAGTACCACCCAGGATAGTACCACCTCTCTAGCAGGCGCTACAAATGGGGGTAAAAGTTCTCGGAACTAAGCTCTCTTTTTGTGTGAACGCAAAATTCCAGGCACTATCGGAACTAAACGGGAAAAGTACGGGTAAAGGTACTCCGGTGTGAACGCGCCTATTGTTACAGCAAAAGTGAATAAGAGACAAAAAACTATGAGAAAGGGCATGCACATAATATATTAAGAAAGTTATTTCAATTTACATGTAATATTCCTAATTAAAAGACACTCAATACCAACGCAAAACTGAATAAAACAAGACTAAAATTGGGAATAAATACATTCAATTGGTGTACTTTGCTTTTGAATTGTGTCACAATCAATAAATAGCATCCCGTATAGACAGGTTGTCGGCCATCAAAACCAAACTATGGTTCCACTCGGCTCATGTGACTGTTACCATGTACAGCTGACAGAGTGTACATGTATTTTCAGTTGGTGGATGTTGTGCCATCTTCCCAGAAGACTTCTGTCTCCAATAAAGAAATCCTCCTCCCTGCGAATCCCCAGCATCCACGTCTTTATCCATCAGACATTGTTTTGATCAATGCAAACATGAAGCCGTCAGGATCTGTCAGGAGCTCTTTTTCAGATTTCACTTTGGAGAGATCTGGCACAACAACAGACATGTTTCAGACTCTCTGCTGCACCCAAACAAGTGGCCTGTTTCCCTCTGCGCCGTCACAACATGGATCCCATAAGGCTTTGGCAGGCCATGCCGATAGCTGTTACCAGGCTTATGTTAGACGACATTTCCATTTCAATCCATGCTGGATTGATTTTCCAACGTTTATATTTTCCCTGCAAAGCTTTTATAGGACTGATTTTAGCAAACCATTTCTCAACAACCATGCTGATCAAAAGCAGGAGCTGAACTCAAAGCTAAGATGGGATCCTTACTGGCAATTTCATCAATGTTCAGAAAAGCGGATTGTAATCTCAAACAGGGGTGTAGTTTTTTCACCCCTTATGATGCCATATACAAAGTATGGGATAACCAAATCCTTTAAAGAGGCCCAACTATAGGTTTTGGTGCATGTAAATGGTC